CTCTCTCTCTCTCTCTCTCTCTCTCTCTCTCTCTCTCTCTCTCTCTCTCTCTCTCTCTCTCACACACACACACACACATTGTCGATGCTAGTATTAATAATACAGACAAACACACGTTGAACTGGCTGCGACACAGGCAGACTTTGTGGTGCGGGTGCGTTGTCATCATGCCAAGATTTATGTGAGCCGAACCCACTCTCTCGTCTGCACGAAGATCGGCGCCTCAACCTTCCTCCATAACAGGATGGTTCGAGACTCTACAAGATGGATTTGTTAATTCCCCAGGATTACGCGAAGGAGATTAAGAGGCGAATCTCTGCACCAAGTCTGTCCTCGTAGATGTCACCATCGTCAATCCATCTTCAAGTAGAAGCATTGAAAAATCGACACCAGGGTTCGCCCTCGAAGGTAGAGCAGCAAGTCAGGCAAACTACTAAATAGGAACTTTCAACCCGTCTAGACCTACCCTCCTTCCCTGCTTCTTCTTCAACGTATGGTGACCTTGGCAAAGGCACAACGGTTAATTGTAGCCGCCGCCGCCATCTTGCCCACGAATAATTCTGCATGGGAAATTTGACCACGAGTCTGCATTTCTTCACCTCAAGTTCACTTTCGGGCTAGCTCGCTTTCTGTCAGTACGAACTCGCGACGTGTTCAAACGTCATGGGTTACTGAAGCCTATATCGAAATTCCACCAAGGCCAATAGGTTGTGACTTCAGTAGTGGGGACAAAGATGTGATGGTGGCAATGAAGGGCATTTATTTGGTAGCAACGAAGGAAGAGGAGAGGCAACCGGACATCAAGGGGGGTGTACTCATAGTCGTGCATGCCGTAGTCGTTAGACCATTGACCTCGCATCCCTACAAAGCCGGGACGGAGCACGCCGGGTTCTCACCGGACCAGGCTCTCACATCACCAAGCGCGAAGCGCCGTGAGGTATTCGGCGAGTCGCATGAAGGGTGCGCTGCATCCTGCTAAGGGTGTTCGGCATCTTGTGCTTACTTCCTTGCGTACTTATGACAGCTGCGTATGACTTTATATATTTTCTGGTGCTTTCACTTCCTGAGACAGTTGTTAGCACCGTGTAACTGCCTCGAGGGTGCTTGACCATCGTAACACAACGTGGTGCGATCATCCCCCTTGCGCGGAGTGAGGCTTCTCGACCCCGCACAACATGATCCACTCGACCACCATTATGGTTACCGCCAAAAAATAAACAGAGGTGAAAAACAACGGTAACCTGGTTGCCGAGCTCATGAAGTGAATTGGCTTGTTTTACAACGTCTTTGCCAAGCGACGAAAACCCAACCCCGATGGCAAACATCGGGGGAACCGGAGAACAAGGGAACGGCCAAAACATGAAGTGGAAGAGAGCAAGAACCTTCGAGTCAGATGACCTTCCTCACGACAAACGATGCAGGGGTAGAGAAGACTGCCAAAAAATAGCTGTGGCAATGGCGATGAGAGCGATGGTGGTGAAAGCAAGGAGGATGATGGTGAAATCACTCCAAACGAACTCGAGTTCAAGGTAGCAGCCTTGTCAGACGCGCGCTTTTTCCTCCGTTGCTACCGTTTCTGTCTTAATCCGGAGAATAGCTTTGCCTCCGCCATGACGGCCCCTCACGGGGTCCCAATTCATCACATTTGAAAGTGTTTGTGTTTCCAACCGCACTATAACTGACGTCTTTTCATTGGTCAGCCGGTTAGCGCGTTCGATGCTAGTTATAATGCAGCCACAATACAATGGACAGGTTATTTTCGTCTTCGTGGGGCCCCTGCCCCACACACCTTGTTTTTTTTCGCCCTCGTGCTTGCTTTACCATCTTCTTCCTCATCCTCCACCCCCCCACCTCTCCGATGCAAAGGACGCGAACGTACCGATGACCACTAAGAAGGTCTGTNGGGACCCTGCCCCACACACCTTGTTTTTTTTCGCCCTCGTGCTTGCTTTACCATCTTCTTCCTCATCCTCCACCCCCCCACCTCTCCGATGCAAAGGACGCGAACGTACCGATGACCACTAAGAAGGTCTGTCATGACCCACCGCGCTCGTTGGACTCGAAGTGGCGATTTCCTGAGACCGCGGTAGGGACAAAGTCGACGGCCGTGTTCGAGGATCTGTGGGCCAAGGGATTGTGCCCGGCCAGCGGGAGTAATTACGCCGCGGATTTCGTGGTGTACAACGGTGAGGGCGGGACTACACTGGAGTGTTGTTGTTGTTGATGTCGTTGTTTTTGTTTTCGTATTGACTCTGAAGAAACGATCTCACCTTTACCATCTACCTCCTTGGATCCTCGCCAGTAGGAATGAGTTCCTATCGTGAGACTTCAGGCTCAGTCCAAGTACGGAACAAGTTCAGAGTCAAAATACGTCCAGAAGGGGTGCTGAGATACTCGTGGAATGCCCCGTTCCAGTCTCTCAGCCCTTAAAGCACAACAATAGATGATTTGTATTTTGATGAGTTTTCCCGTTTTCACTACGCGCGAATAGTGGCTAACGTCTGGTGAAGCCACACGCGACACCTACTTGCGTGTCCCCTTTGTCCCGTCTTGTAAGGTCCTCCAACAGAGCGTCACTCAATCGCCGCCGTGATCGTTAGCCGAGGGGCCAACGACGAGTTGTCCCCGGCGGAGCTGTCCGGCTTCGCTCGAGTACAGCAGGCGGTGGGGAAGCGGGCGGTCATCGCGACGGCCCCCCTCGCGACGAATGATACCTCGCCGATGGTGGTCGAGGCCAATACGCTGGCTTCGGCTGCGGTGGCGACGGCGGCGGTGGTGGCACCCCGTGGCAGCGAAGGGAAACCGACCGGGGTCGAAGGCCGGACAAGCACGCCTCGCCGGCATGAAGGTGGACAGGAAACAGCATCAGGCACAGTTTTGGGGACGGCATCAGAAAAACTGCCCACACAAGCACCCGCCGCAGCAAACGCGGTGGCGGCAACGGCGGCGGCGGCGACGGCGGCGACGGCGGCGGCAGCAGCAACTCCAGCGAACGAAGGCGTGCGTTACATCACGCTGCAGTTCCATTCCGTCAGCAGCAGGGTGTGAGCAGAAGATGTTCCAAGGGTGTCGTAGACTAAATTACGTGTTTCAGTCGCATGCTGACCGTTGGGCTGTGGCACGGTGAGCGGTAACTTGGCGCGGCGCAGACGTGATGGGCGCGAACAAAGCCTGTGTGAAGAAATGGGAGGGGTGGATTCTAGGATGCCATGTTTTAATTTTTTCCACGAGCGGATTTTATATGGCGAGAGAGAGACGAGTTTCGGCAGGGATTGTTTGTGCGTAACCCAGTGCACCCCCCCCACCCCCCCGGCGCCCCCTTGAAATTCTGGCGGGTATGGATACTAGAGACCTGGAAACGCCACATGTTTAGCGCATGCTGGCATCAGCCTTGGTCACACGAGTCAGCTAGTGTGGTTTTATGGCCAAAGTCCGCCTTATCTTTTAAGCGATGCTTGTAAGTGCGGTGGACGTTGGCCACAACCACATGACCCGTGATGCAAACCTGGCGATGCGTGATTGTAGTGCGTGCGGTTGACGAAAGATTCCGGCGTACACGTGTTTGACGGCGGAAGCCGGGAGCGGGGGGTGAGGTGAGTCGGCGAGAGCGGGAGCGAAGTCTTGAGTGCGTCTGAAGGAGGCACACCAGCCATGAGCATTCGCCCCATAACGTAGAACGCATCCTGCCAGGACTGAAGCGTGAGGAAGCTTTCAGACCAGTCAATGGAGTATCTGTTGAATCTTGAGCTAGATACATAGTACTCTGTTGTGTCCTGCCGGTGTCGTGCTGGTCAGGTTGGGTCAGGTTTAGGTAGGTCTATCTGCCCGGAACAGTTTGGAGTCAGTATTGGATATGCTTGCACCCCCTGTTTGCTGGGCTAGCTTACCTACGGTGTGGCCCGTGGGTATGGGGCTTTGGTGCAGTTTGTAGTCGAGGTGCTTCAGCGACTTGTAGTAGTTCGGCTACTTTTACAAAGAAGGGGTCAGAAAAGCCGTGGTGTAAATAAAGGGTAGTCTCGATATTGAGCGTTGTGGTGTGCGCCAGATGATCAATTTATTTACACCGGTGGGTGTGCCGTTCTAAATAGTGGTTTTGCTTGCTCTAGCTCTTTCCACCCAGGCCAGGAACGGAAGCAAGAGAAACACTTTCTGCGCAAAAAGTTTGTAAAAAAGAGCTCGCTTACGCTGGGGTTCGAACCGTTGACCCGCTGGCCAAAAGTATTTGAGTAAACCACGTAGACTACCACCGAAGGCAGACGATACATCATCTAATGCCACGCACATACCTAACATTAGCATCCGCCCCCCACGAAGACACAAAAAAGAGCGTGCCAACAAAACGTTTGACTCCGCTACACATGATAGAGGACATTGATCAGCGATTTGTCAATCCATGGGTGCAATGAACCGCTCAACATGCTGCCCCCTCGCAGCCGTCGCATTATCAAGGCCGGGTGTTGTTCAGCCAATAAAACTCGTTCTTCCGGTCATGTTTGTTCACAAATCATCATGTGCTGCTGTGTACACGCATAGATGCCTTGGTGTAGATCTAGAGGCTCGTTCCTTATCTTCTCTGTGGGGTAGACTACTGTAGTGTGGTATAGCCCCTAACAACACAGGCTCAGGCAACCCTAATCCCAAAACACGGATTGAATGACTAGACTAGTCTAATCGATTATGCTGCTACAAACCTTCGTAGATACCGGAGATTCCGACCGTAGATCGCCGGACACCGAGTTTGAATTTTGAAGTGTGAAGTTTGAGGGCTTGAGTGCTGTGTTTGTTGCCCTGCACTGCTGCTGCCGATATATCGCTTGGCTGCTGACGACGACCCCCTCCAAAACTGACAGGTGTGCCTGTGCGTGACCTCTGCGAAATGAGTGACATCGCTAGCGACACCAGCAGCGTGTACAAACCTCTTCCTCCTCGACAGAGTGAGCAGCAACAACGACGATCATCACGGCCAGTGACTTCGAGACCGCAGCAGCGACCGCCTCCAGAACCGAGGCGCTCCTCGAGTAGACAGGAAAAATCCCTTCGAACCGGGTTCCGGCGGCAGAGGGCGGTCAAGGAAGCCGCCAGGAGACACCTGGCTGCAGCCGCCGGCACCGCCGCCGCCGCTGCCACCGCCACCGGTGATGCGTATGATGTTTCCCGCCTGACGACCTCGACGCCCGTCCAGTCCGCTTCGTCGCCGCAGTGGTACGGGATGATGCGACAGGTGATCCAGTACACGACGAATTAAGTGCCGCGCGGTGTACATAAATGTGTGTCAGAGGCTTGTCGTCGCTTAATCGTTTCAGCTGTTTGCCACCGCGTGTTGCCATGAGCCATTCACATACTGCGTAGTCTACGTTGCCGTTGTATCGGTCGGAATGCAATTCTCTTCCTGGTTTCGTCCGTTTTGGTGTGTGTTTCTCTTATCCCTCGACTACTGCTGTACTGTACTTCGCGGTGTTCAAGCAGATTCTGATCAGATGTCTCCAACAACAACAAGATGAGCATAAAGCCGAGAACGAACACCATCGCTTGATCACGCCCGCCATCCCGGTCGGCATCGCCAGTATCGCTGACGCGCGTCATCAAGTCGGAAGAAGAGTGGTGCTGCCCCTGCCCAGCAACATCGACGATGACAAGATCGACGAAGGTGCTCTCGCTGCAAAGACTATTGCCATGATCGCTAGGAGAGCGCGGTGCCTAGAGGCGCTACGCTTTCTGCGCTACGTCAGGAAGGTGTTAGAAGAGAAGGGGGAGGACGCAGCTGCCGCCGCTGCGGCTGTCGCCGCCGGGCATGGTTGGGACTGGGTCGAAGAGAACTGCAGGTGATGAAGATCTAAATGCGGTACAGTCACCTGGTAGATGTCAATTTACATGTAGTACAAGCGATTGCTTCCGCGAGGAAGATCTGCAACTGCAAGTGTTCGTCGGTGGTGTGCAAAAGAGTTGCGAACGTGACAAGGCGGGTATACAATCTCAGGTGGGTTATAACCACCACTGCATTGCAAATTGATCCTTGGCCCTGTACAACCTATGGCACGTTGGGTGAAAAAATGAAATATCAACAAGTACACACTGCTGTACCTAAGGATTTTTACAGCGGTGGAGGCACAATCTAGGCAAAGGAAAAGGAACAACTAACTTATTCTGCGGCGCACTCGACGGGAGTCGTCTGTCGTCAAGTACTGTCCTGGAATGTCACAGAGTATTGCTTCCTTCCCTCCTGGATACGGTCCCATGCATATCTCACCGATTTCCCACAGAAAATCTGGAGAAAAAACGGAGGGACCGGGTTGACAGCATACCATCACTAGCTGACTTGATATGGCAGTGACGCCACACTCCGACACGCCCGTTGCAGTTTTCAATGCACCCACACCGGTCTTTTTGAAATACCGTACCTTTCTTCCATGCACCTCCAAGTCGTGACCAGTTGTCTTTGTGCGCCGAAATGTTTTGTTTGTGGGAAATGTAGATGCGTCTTCGACCTTCTCGGCGCAGTCCCGCTCATACGTTCTCTTGACCCGGTCTTCCGAAGAAGGCTGCTCTGGATGCTTGATCTCGCCAACCGTCAGGAGGGCCAGATACTCTTCCGCCAAGGCGATAAACAAGAAGCGGTATGAAAACGGCACAGCACAATTTGGACTAGTCTATATGACCTGAGGTGCGCTTGCTAGTTGCTGCTTTTCAAAAGCGCGGGGATGCACGATCTCATTGTGATGATTTCCTGTTGTAGCGTTATTTTCATTGTTTTCTTGCTGGACGCGTGGATCGCCTCATCCGTCTCGTACAAGAGCCAACTCCCTTGCATGTTTTGCATCCACCACGGATAAAACACAACCATTGATGCCGACTGTTCTGTTGCCACTTGCTTGGTATTCAGCTTTGGCTTATTCTCGACGGACGGATTGGCGTCCGCTCGACAGATAAGCAAGGAGTTGTCCACCATACTGGAGAGTTCAACTCAGGGCACGTGAGTGTGGTGCTGCTTCTATTGCTGCTATTTTTTCATGCGATGCCTAGATGTTACACAAGGGAACACGCACAGCTGTCGACACCACCACCTACAAGCGAAGTGCAGTAGGTGGAAAATTTGAACCGCGTCGTTCGAGTTTGGCGCGCAGACCATGGGTTTGTCGGTTGGTCAGAGAGGGTCGGTTCTACGGACGGAAAATCACCTCAACTGTCACAAACACCGCCCTCCACCCAGGTCGTCGGCAGCATCCTCCCCGAGAAGCGGCTGGCGACAGTGATCTGCCTCGAGCAGTGCACCTTGCTCCAGCTCGACCGCGCTACTTTTCTCCAGGCCTTGAACGACCCCGAGGCGCAGCGCGCCGTCGTGAAGAAGGTTCGTGTCACTCCCCCCCCCTCCCCCACAAGGACAGAAACACTTGCGCGCGTGTGTGTGAGACTGAAGGTCGGAAGGTTGATGAGCAGCCCCTTCCTGTCTTTTCGATAACCACCCTCAGCTCGCCGTGTTTTCAACATCTCTTTCAGTCAACTGTCAGCCCCTATCCCTTTTTAGCTTATTTTGATCTATTCTATAGTGCCGCCCCGCCCCACTCCCGTACAGAGGTAAATCTTTACATCCGACGAAAAACGTTTCTAGAATCTTCTAAGTTTACCCCCCCTTTTTCCTTGCGTCCTACCACGGCGACCTGATGCATGTGGTAGCACAGGCCTTATGCAATACTCAAACCTGATTGTCAGTAAACTAACATGACAACGCGCAGGATCGATTCATTCCCAATTGGAGCGTGAAGTACACGCTGTAGCCCCGACACCCCCCAAACCCCCCATGCCTGCCTGCAGAACTTTTTCCGATCCGTGTCCCTCTTCAAGGGCCTTGGAGAGAGGGACCTCGACCGGCTGGTCTCGGTTTTCCACCACACCACGCTGGAGGCGGGAGACGTTCTGTGCCGGGAGGGGGAGCGGGTGGACTACCTCTACCTTGTACAGCGTGGCAACCTTCGCCTCCTGAAGGCATTTGTGCCCCTCCCTGATGATGATGACGATGATAACGATGATGATGATGATGGTGGTGGTGGTAGCGCTGATGGTGATGATGGTGTCCCTGCTCGACAGCGACGACGGGCAGAGGACAAAGCGGGGTCTGAGTTGGAGTCAAACACGGAGACGGAGACGGAATCGGAGAGAATTGGAAGCAATGCGGCGCAACGAAGGGAGCGGACCCACGAACATGAGCAGGAGAAACAACAAGAGCCCCGGCACCAGCGGCAACAGCAGCAAGAGCATCGGCAACAGCGAGCGGAAGCACCAAGGCGAGGAGTAGCGAGGAAGTCTCTGTCAGCTACAAGCAACGAGAATGCCAACATTGCCAACGGTGACAGCTGCCGACGCAGCAGTGGCCCGGGGGCACAGCAAGCACTACCATCATCAGCATCGCCATCACCATCATCACCACCCATGAGGGTGCGATACTTCGATCTCGGAGTCGTGGGGCGACGAGAGTTTATCGGGGAAGGAGGCTTCACCTCAGCCGCGTTCGCGGGGGCAGGTGCACTGAAAGCCGCCGGGGGCATGGTCGGAGAAGATGTCCGAGACGGAGGGAGTATGAAAGGCAGGAGGCTCGAGGGGGCTAGGCCCGGATCAGCAGCAGCAGGAGAAGAAGATGGACCGGGGGGGGCAAGGGTGAGAAGGAGCGTCTGGAGTAGCTGCCACAAGAACCGCGGGGTTGTCGTTTCGCGGATCGGGGGAGACTACCTAGTGTCAGCCTTCGCTGAGGGCCGGGTGGACATCTTTGCGGCGAAAGTTTGCCACCTGTTGCCCTTGCAGTCGGCCGCCCTCAAGCTCTGCTGGATCGAGGGGTGTGAGGTAAAAGTGTGTGTGGGCGTCCCTTGCTGTTGTGTCGACATACGTGAGTGCCCGACAAATACCCAGGTGGTAACAAACTGCAGGCGTGATTAGATGTCCAGCGTTTGGTTCGCGGGGAGTGTTCGTCTAGTCAACATGGTCATTTCGTAGTCTTTCGCAGGTGGTGTAGCCCAAGAGAGTTTGGGTGAGCCCAGCGCTCAGCGGGCTGAATTTGTTTTTTGTGCTGGGTGCAAGCCGAGGTGAGCCTCTCTACTTTTCTACTGATGTTGCCCCCAAGGAAGGCTCGCCTATAGGGGAAGCCCCATCGAGAGTTGAAAACTCACCTATTATGGCATTCTTCCCAACATCCATCCGTTGTCTAAGAAAGTGGTGATCTCTTTACTTTCGGAAAAGTGTTTGGTTCTGAATTTCTCGTGTGCTAGGACTTTTTCCTGTCTCGATGCCTGTCAAACCTGACAACGAATTTGTCGTGGCCCAACATTGACTTCGCTCGAATTGAAGATGTTGTGAAATTGTCGGGGTGTGCTAGGGTACGCTGATAGACGAGCCATGCGCAGCAAAAATCGTTCATCGTCGTTCAACATTTCATCCAAATCCTCGAAAGTAGATATCTCGCGTATGTCAAGGCATCCGGCAGCACTGTTGAACCGAGATCAGTTAGTTCGCGTCAAAGGGATCACAACGCCGTGTGTGGTAGTACTTTGGCGGACGCCTATGTCACCTTTTCCTGATGTCATCTCTCTCTTCTCAATTCAGATTTATTCGACCTGGAGGGAGAGGATGACTGATATCGCGCGGAAGTTGATGTGCATGTAGTCTATGCATACGTTCCGGCCACGTGAGGCTGAGCCATGTTCATGCATGACCTGATCCGGTTGTTGCGGCACTGTTTGTCTCGAACAGCATTGGATTGGATTAAAGAAAACCCACGTCGCACTCGAACTTCGGTTGTACGTCGGCACGTGTCTCGTTTCTTGCTCTTGCCAAGAAACATGCTAACGACGTTGTTGTTGTCGCACGCGATGGCCAAGCGTGGCTAGAGCAAGTTGACTTGACACGACCCACATCGACCAACTCCGAAGTATAGGTGAAGAGACAAAAATACACTTGGTACCATTTTTCGATGCCTACATGATTGCAACGATCCGCATTGACGGAGCACCACGTACTCACCCCCTAATATTTGTAGGTGCAACATAGTGCCCTGGTGTACAAGAGCATACAGTCTAGTCTAGATTAGACTTGGGTTGGCGACTTGTCGACAAAAAGGAGTTACTCTTGATTTATTCTCGCTTTGATTTTTTGTTTTCCAACAAGGCGCACAAAATGAAGGAGCGAGAGTGGAAGGCGGATGCGTTGGCTGCCAAGCTGAGAAAGCAGATTGTGTGGGAGCGCACCAAACGGGCCATCGTTATGGATAGCATACGGATAGGCGTACTCGAGAAGCGGATGGCGATGGCCGTCAGCCGGGCGGAACGGGCAGAGCGTGGGAGGGGCGTTGAGAACAGCCGTAGAGGGAACAACGGTAGCGGTGCCAGAACCAACAGCAACGCCGCCGCTGTTGCTGAATTGCCCCAGTCTCATGAAGCAGGAGGTTAAGTCACCCCAAGAACATTATTTCGATCGTGGCTTACGTTTACGCTCAGCAGGGCACGGGGGGTGGGGGTGAGTGGGCACACAAAAGAGGTATTGCATGACACAATCTTTGTGCGTGCATCACGCTAATTTTGGCCGGCACATAGCTCTCCGGTCGGATAACTATGTGGGCGGCGGCGCTCACGTATTGGCTCGAACACAAACCCATTTCAAGCTGTGCTTCGAGAATGATCAAGAAGAAAAAAAACAGACAAAATGATAGTACCTTTTCTCTTTTACCGAGTAAAGGTCTCCGAAGTGATGAATAACCGTTCACTAGCGGAGGTATTTCGCTCTTGTTGGAATGTGGCGAGGAATTGCCAAGCGTGGCTGAATTCAATCGGCCTTGCTAGGTTGAAAGGTGAGAGTGAGCCTCAGGGGCCCGCTTTCACCCGCCGGCTGGTCACAGCAGACAGAGGGTCGTTTCTTTGTAAACATCTTTTGGCCTCGGGAACGTCGTTCGTAGGGTTTCGCATACTCACGGTTGTATGTACGTCACTACTGTACCAATAGGAACATATCAAATATCCTCGTTTCCACAGAAATATGCTTCGAATACGCTTCAGCGTGGCAGAAGAAGGCTCTTGGAAAATGTCTTTCATGTTTTATTGAAGTGAACCCCGCCAAGGAAAATATGGTGTAAAGCACTATATGTAGCACGATCAGTCAACCGAATCGAACTAATACCCAAGCGTCACGTGACAACGTACGGCGATGAGGACAACCCATGTCGTGCCGGGAGGCAATAGAATATACGTCTAGCGTGCGAGAAGCACAGGGCGCACCCCCAGAGGTACATCCTGACGAGCGCCACAGCAGTCGCCTCTACGTCAGCGAAAGACCAGCAACAAGGAAATGCAGTCACGTTACCACTTCATGCCATCAACACGCCAACCACGGTGTATGCTACCCCCGTTTCGATCGACCCATCATACGAAAGCTCGGCAACCGCTACATGTCCCGGAAGTAGTTCGAACGACCTCCAGACGCTGGCTGCCGGCAATGTCAGGTCGCAACGGCGCTGTTTTCGCCGAGAATGTCCGAGGCCACGTGATCAATACAGTAGGTGAGATCGAGCTGCTCGGCAGAGGCCGCAGGAAGTCGTGCTACATTGCAAAGTATACACATGCCCATTGCACATGGCCTAGAAGCAGAATAGCCAGCAACTCAAATCTTCCTTTGAGCCCGCTCTTCCTATTGTGGTAGCGCAAACCCGCGTCTCTATCCTGCCGTTGGGATCATCAAGAGCTTCACCTTATGTACTATTTTGAAGGACATCTTTATACTTTTATCATCTTAAGATAAGGATGGACTGGCACGGCATTGTACTTGGAAGGGATACCAGCAACCGGATTGTTGCTCAACGAATGCACGCACACCCCAGGGTGCAATGCATCTTCCGCGGAATCAGGCTTGGCAAGTGCGCCCTGATAAACGAACAAGGCAAACGTCACACGCACGCGCTACAATGAAAACAAACACGAACACACACAACCCTTCACCAAGTACATCTAAATGAGACTGAGATTACAAGAACGTCGAAAATCAATTTGAAACTAAAAGTAAGGACGAAAAGCGCAGTATCCCGTAGACGGCAACAACAGGCTTGAACGTAAAACAACATGCATGCATCATACGTGGACCGATACGCGGCTCATTCGCCAGCACCACTACAACCAAACCCGTCACTGGGAAAACGAAAGATGGACATGTCAGATTCAGCCGTCGGCTCACACAGCTGAGCCTTGACCCTTCGTGCTGCCCAACTACTCGTGCTATTCACTACAAGCCGGTCTGGACCTTTTACTTGGCCGCCCTTCGGCCACCTCCGCCCCTGCCGCATCGCCCGCCCCCGCCGCATCGCCCGCCCCCGCCACCCCTTCCCCATCACCCCCGCTTCCTACGCTGCTACTACTTCTCCCACCACTCGAAGGCACAGCCGCGGGCGCCGCCGCCGGTCTCTTCTTTCTTGCCCGCCTTGTCGCCGTGACTCTTGAAGCTCTTCTGAGCGCCACATGGGGCGCCACCACTCGCTCGACGGCGCAGAACGTCCACGCGTCCAGCGCGTCGACGTCGACCTCGATCTCGACCGCCGCCGTCCTCCCGACCAACGCCTCCACGCAATCATTCCCCCCGCCACCACCATCAGCACAACCTCCACCGGTGCTTCTTCCCTTTTCTGTTTCTTCTGCTGCTTTTTCTCCTTCTTCTCTCTTTATTTGATGCCCTGCCCGCCTGCGCACCAGCGCCTCCGGACACCCGCGGTCAATCTCGTGCACCGCAGCCGTCACGTCCTCCATCCTCGCCCGTCCCAGGTGCCTCGCGAGCCTGCGCCGGTCTTCGGTTGTGGGGTCTGCGGCGACCGCCGCGGTAACACTGGCGCTGCTGCCCCCGCCGCCCCCCCCGCCGCCGCCCTTTGGCTTGGCAGGGCCTTTGCCGTTGCCGTTGCTGCCGCCGCCGCCTCTGGAAGACGACTTTGGCCGCCCTCCCGCCAATATCTTCGCGAGCCGGGTCTCGAACCGCTTCGATAACGTGTCCGCCGCCTGAATGAGTTCGCGTGTTCGCACGCAGGTGATGGAAGAAAGACCAGGCGACACAATAAGGTCGGTTTAACTGACAAACGTGCACTGTGCTGTGTTGGAGAACCAAATAACCCAGCAGGAACGGCATAGCAAACAACATAAAATACGGTACCACGAACACCTCACCAACAAACAAGTTGACGCGCTCGAATAACGAGTTTCTCGCTTGCCTTGTGGAGGTCGCGCGGCACCCCTCCCGTGTTGTACGTCCTGCAGTTGTCCCAGATCAGCCTTACGTCCGCGGCGCAGGCCTCGGCTGTCGGATACGCCCCCCGCTCCAGGCGGAGCTTTACCGTGCCGAGGTCCATGGGCCTTTTGATTAGGTTGGGGTAGTCGTGCAGACCGAGGCCGCGCCAGTCCACCGGCTCCCGGAAAGCCTCGGAGTCCGCCGAGCCCAGAAGGGAATCGATTAGCTAAATGGTGTTTTTTGTTGAATGGTATGCATAAACGGCACAGAGAAGGACGTGAGGAACCAAATGGTGAAGACGACGTTACAAGAAATGCGTGAGTGGAGGTGTGGCTTCTTCATGTCCCCGGCGGGATGGATCGAATGCTATGGATGGAGTAGAAGAAGCAAGCACGAGGAGCAGAGAACACACGAGAGGACGAGTGGATGGTGCTCTATTTTCATTTAGTCTAGAAGAGATTGCAGGACACAACGAGAACGTCTGCCCGAAATACAGCAGTCGATCCTCATTCGAGGCACCCAGTAATTCACGCCCTCACCATTCAGGGAACGACGATCAACCACCTTCAGGGTGAGCGCCGGGTGTTCTATACGTCAAACTATGCCCCTCGGGCGTGGGGTGTTTGAGGCATGAACGGGCTGTCATACACGACCATAGGCGACCTGATGGCTAGCCATTGCTGGATCGTAGGGTTGTACATTTGCTAACGGCAAGACGGCCTTATTTGCTAGGACGCTGTTCAGCCTAGGGAGGTGGCTACCGGTGTGATGCTTTCGACGCACTCTAAACACAGACATACACGCGATTGCGCCAATCATGAAGACGTTTCATGAGCGAACGAGTGCAAAGGCCTTGGACATCAACAAGAATAACGTCTTGCCACATTCGCCGTTCTGTCCATGCGCATGCCAAAACAGGCGCAGCTCCTCTTCTGAGCAAAAATGGACCCCGGCCTCTACCGATGATTGAGCATGTATTGTAGCGTCTTCTCGCTCAATCTCTGTGCTGTATGCTGCAAAGCTGGCACGAGCAATCGGTAGAACCAGTAGCCAACGGAGAGCTCCCGACATAGTAGCCGGGTTTCTCTTTCTGCGGTCCCTCATACTTGAAAAAAATAAACGCATTCCACGAAAGCGAAGACCACTGCTGTATTGATGATTGTGTGTGGGTGGTGGCGGTCGGGTGAGCCTGTAGACTTCAGTAGCGGGTTCCTTGACGGACTTTCTGCCGCTCCCTATTTTGGAAACATCATGCGATGCGCGCACGGAGTGGAGTGGGAGCAGCGTGCCGCGAAAAAAAGCGAAGCAGCTGGGGGGGCCGTCAATACTAAAATTGAAAGGCTGAACATGAACCGAATCTAATTGTTTCGCTTTCGAGAGCCCGGCAAAACGAAGGTGATTCCGTGTATGACGGTCTTCAAGACTTCATGCGTTTCAGCAGCCCAGGCTTGTCATGTGCTGGAAAAATGGAACGAGTGTGCGCGCGCTGAAATATGTTGCATACAAAAACACGAAGACTCACTGTTATCTATGATTAAGGTTCAGGACAGCTGACTCCTAGAAACCTCAAACCTTCAGACATGATCTAGCCCGGCCAACTTTTGTGTGGGGGTGGGTACTTCGATATGCTACCGCTACAGCACCACCCTAAGCAAGACCGCACGCCTTTCGACGGGCTGGTAAAACGATTGGGGCGCAGCGTTGCCGACGCGTGTTGTACGCTTGTGTGGGTGGAATGCATAACATGCATGTGTATGTGTTGGTCTTCGCATTAGCAACCATTCCGATCTCTCTATCGGTACCTGCATCTGTCCATACTGATCTATCTAAAGTACTGCAGGATTCGACTACAGCAGGAATACACTAGTTGTTTATGGCTGAATCCCGTGTGGACATGGGAAATCTTCGGCAATCGGTCCCGCACGCAGAACAAATAAAGGGGACGGTTGAACCTTTCAACGGTTGCCCGTTTTTCTCTGTATTTTGTTGCAAGGCGCTAACGATACGAGGCGAACTACTGTGTGTAGCCGGCCCAACACTGACGCGTGCGAGGCTTCGGTGCCAAGGCAGAGCCGTCCTCTATTTCAATGACAACATCGGAGCAATACGCTGGACTTAGGGCGCAACCGCGGGGTTTGTCCCGATGGACACGCTCAGCGTTTTGGGGATCTTAAGTTGTTCTTCGTCGTCCCCTAGCCTGCTGGTAGTACGACCATGACTTCCAGAGAGGGCGTTCGCCACTTGATACCGAGTATTGTACCGCGCCCCGCGGGAGCCCATTGTATGAGGAGCCGTACGCATACGGTTGGAAAAAAACTGAAATACCTTCTCCATCAGCGGAAGTATGCGTAGAAAGATGGCGGAGCAGCACGCGTTTCCTTAGCCACAGATTTCTCTTCGATTGCTGTACTACGGCCCTGTCGCTATCCTCGGGGCGCTGCTGGGAGCTGTTCTGCGTGCTGCTGCCAGGGGGATGCGGCGCAATTTCTGGGGGCTTCGCAGAAGTCAGCCTACAGGAGACCCCCCCTCCCTTGACAAAGAGCAAAAAAAAAAATGGTTCACCCGGGTTGCAAGGGGCTCCGTACACCCCATTTTTCTTTTTTTT